CCCCCCCCCCCCCGAACTGTAAAAATATAGTATAAACTTGTAGTAGAAAAGTTGGAAAATACAGACAAAAAGAATCCATAATCACCAAATCTGGAGATAAGGATTTTGGTATATTTCCTTTCAGTTTACATACATATATTTATATGTGTCTATGCGTTTATAAACATATATATGTGTGTATATACTTTGGCACACATATATGTACATGAAAGTTTATATTCTAATTTCAGTTTATAACTTTTTATTTTAACATTATATTTTGAATATTGTCCATGGGCTACCTTTGAAGTAGGGAGAAGAGGGAAACAAAGCCCTGAGTTTCATAATTTTTGTGCTTTCCTTAGGGAACTGGATTCTGGTTTGGCTGAATGTGTGTCTACACTAATATGGGCAGCAACTCGACTCCAGTCAGAGGTGCCTGAGTTGAAAATAGTAAGTTTGATGAGTTTTAACTGCCCATGCCATGATTGTAAGTGAGGTTATCAATAATGTTGCTCGTTTAGACTTGCAGGATTACTTGAAGAACCTTTTCTTCCCTTAAAGGATAGCCAAAAAAAGTATTTTCTTCTGTTAGTCTTTAAATGAAAAGTAAATAATGTTTTTAATGACAATGGTAGGAGGAAAACCTTTCATAAAAAATTAAACTGAATTTCTTTTGTGAGGAAGGGGTATCATGATTTATAAGGTGTTTAGAATTAGAGGGTTTAAGTTTCACATTTATTAGATGCTTAAAAATAAAGCAAAGTGCTTATTTTGTTGTTATTGCTGTTTGATGCTAAAAGAACATAATTCCAATGAGGTAACATGAAACTGATTTTTGCTTTTTCGGTGGTTCTTTATCTAAAACAAATCTGCCATAACTTGATGACTTTTGCCTTTCTTTCTTTCTTGGTGATGGTTTGCTGCAGGTATCTAATCAGCTGTGTGCAAAGTACAGCCAAGAATATGGTCAACTGTGTCGAACCAATGAGATTGCAACTGTCAGCTCTCGGGTAGTACCATTTCCAGAGACACATGTTTTTCTAAACCAAGAAGTCTGGGAAAAGCTGAGCAAACTCCTAACATATAATTCTGTGCAGAATGAAAGTTGTGTAGAAGTACTTTTTTCATTGGAGGCAGAGGAACTTGGATAAAGATCTTGGATTAGGGAACTCAGATCTTTTTTAAAAAACATATTTTTATTGATTTTTAGAGAGGAAAGGAGAGGGAGAGAGAGAGAAACGTCGATGAAAGAGCGAAACATGGATCAGCTGCCTTCTGCAGGCCCACCACTGGGGATTGAGCCTGGAACCTGGGCATGTGCACCAGGAATCAAACTGACAACCTTCCAGTGCATGGGAGCCAGGACAGAAACTCAGATATTTTAAAGGGGGTCAAATATATGGTGACAGATGGAAACTAGACTTTTGGTGGTCAGCAATCTAGAGTATATACAGATATCAAATGATAATATTCTACACCTGAAACTTATATATGTTATTAAACAATGTCACCTCAATTAAAAAACAAACAAAAACTAAAGTCAAGAAATCTGAGCTGATTCTTTATTAAGAAAACATACATTTTCATAGTTACATTTTCCTAAATGTAACTGGCCTAGTAATACAAAAGAAGTTAATGAAACTTTGAAGTTTCAACTGGAACATCTTACCTAATTCAGGACTGACATTCAGCTGGACACAGGAATCTGGCCAAAGTAGTTGTTTCAGGCCATTGCACATTCTTATCATTCAGGGCATCTGTTCTGATTGGTTAGTGCCTTGCTGTGTTGGTTGTTGTGTATGTTGACTATCACCTCTGACATAATTCAAATACTTGTCATAAAATCAGAATTCTTGATTCAAAATATTTTTATGTTTATTTTTTCCTCTTATTCTACTTGGTTTGAGATTCCTTCACCCCAGGAAAGGGCTCTCTTATATTATAAGTGGGGCCCCTCCTTGTTGTTGATAAGTTATATATCTTTCTTTTTTTTAAATCCTCACCCAAGGATATGTTTTTCATTGATTCTAGCGAGAGAGGAAGGGAGAGAAAGAGAGAGAGAGACACATCGATGTGAAAGAGAAATAGCGATTGGTTGTCTCCCATATGTGTCCAACTGGGGATTAAACCCACAACCTGGGTATGTGCCCTGACTGGGAATCAAACCCAAGACCCTTTGGCGCACATGATGACGCTTTAACCAACTGAGCCACACTGGCCAGGGTGCTAAGTTATATATCTTTTTAAAATCCTACATCTTAAATAACAGTGACTAGAAAGATGAAGAGCAATGATGCAAAGGTGAAAGACCTCTTAAACTCTTTTTGTTTCTTTTTTTGTAGGGGTGTGTGTGACCAACTCTGTTATGTTCTTTATTTTGCAGCTAATGTGTAAATTAAATGTGAACACTCTACCCCAGGTTCTAGTGGAACAGTATCTGATCGAAATTGCTAAGAACTATAATGTGCCATATAAACCCAAGGCACCCATTATGGTGAGTACTTTAAAGAACGGAGAATTGATTTAAAGCTGAGATTTTTGTGCACTTGAATATTTTTTCCTACTTACAAATGTGGCTCTCATGGTAGCTCTGTCAGGACTGTAAATCAGGTGAAATTTGTACCTTTTCTCTGCCCACATACTTTTCCCAACAGATTATGGCTTCTGATAACTGTTAGATGACCCTTCTAAGTTTTTAACAATAGAATGGAAAACAAAGATGAAGGTACCTAATGTTTTATACCTAGAAGTGTGCAAAACATTTTTAGTTTTTAAGACCTCAATTTTGTCCCTGGGATATGTTGCATTTTAATAAAGAGGTGTTTATTAAAGATCTGGAATAAAGGCTACAAGATCCAAAGGCACAGGGCACTATCATTTAGTCTTGGTTAAGAGTATGAGTTCAGTAGTGAAATGACCCATATTCAGATCCTAGCTCCACCATTTATTAATCATGAAACCTCAGGCAAGTGACTTACCTTCTCAGAGACTCAGTTCTCTGGATTGTAAGAAGGGGGACAATAATAGTTAGTGGTTATTAACAAATCTCATAAGTTTGTTGATATGATTAAATGAGCTAATACATATAAGGATTTAAATGCATTGCGTGGTCCATCACAAATGTAATCACATTTTGCTTTTTATCATCATCATTATTATCATGGAAGGTGAATTAAGCTTCCAAAAGCTGGTCATAGACTGTTTTAGGGATTTCTCCCTAATGCCTCTCAAATCATCTCATATGGGGAGCAACTTATTTTAGCAACTGATAAAGTTGTCCCTGGTAACTTCTTTATAAAAGATGGCCTTGTACTCAGGTGTCAAACTTGTTTTTAGTGCAGGCAGGAGGCCACCAGGGATGTCTGTTCCATCCTCTGTGTTCCCACTGTGCTGCCTTCCAGTTGATGGGCAGCATGTACCATGCTGGGTTGTAGGTAAAGGGCACACTTGTCTTTTCTGATGCTTTGCTCCTGATGGTTTCCTGATAGGGACTCTTTTCCCCATTTTTTGTCTTTCAAAAAATTATATGGTTTGTTGAAAAATGACACAACGTAAAAATTTAGATAATACCAAAAGGGACTGTGAAGAAGTTAAAGCCACATGAAATGCTACCAGAGATGTGCCCAAGGGCTCAGCCTTGGATCTCTTCTCTTTCTTCTCTACTCTCTAGGTGATTTTATCCAATGTCATGGTTTTCAATACCATCTCTATGGTGAGGACTTCTACACATATATCACTAGCCAAGGCCTCTAGGCTGATAGGAACTCCATCCTGATGTATCCACCTACCTTCTTGAAATCTTTAGTTGGATATTTCAGAGACATCTCAAACTTAACATGTCTAAAAGAGTGCTCTTACCCCTCTCAAGAACCCATTCATTCTACAGTTAATGGTAATTCTGTGCTAGGGCAGAAACCTTGATATCTTTCTTGACTCCTCCCTTGCTGTCAATTGCTAACCCCCAATCAATCTTCAGCAAGTCCTGGTTATTCTACCTTCTAAATATACCCAGAATTCTGCTACTTCTCACCATCTCCGCGGACAGTACCCTGGTCTGACCTGCAATAATCTCTTCCCTGGATGACTGCAAGAGCCTCTTAACTGTTTTTCTTGCTTCTCTACTCTTCTTCCTCATTAATTGATGTTCAATGTAGCCTTCAGAGATCTGGTCAGCACCTAAGTCAGATCCTGTCACACCTCTGCTTTTAAGTCTCCCCCAATGGCTTTTTATTTCACTTAGAATAACAGACAACAGCTTTCCTATGACTGAAGAGACTGTCCACACCCACTCTCAGTGTGAGGCCCTAATTGGCCACCTTCTCTAAAATGTCAACGTCTTCCCTCTTCTCTGCTCTATATTTTTTCTCTATCACTCCTGTCTTTATCTAACACACTGTATAGCTCATTTAGTGATCTTGTTTATTATCTGTCTCTCCCGCTGGAATATCATCAGCTCTAAGAGGACAGGGACGTTTGTCTGTTTTGTTCACTGTGGCATCCCCAGCACTGTGCCTGGTTTATATTAAGTAGTCAATGGAATTTGTCAAATGAATGAATAAATCCAGAGTTTACCACTGTTAGGATTTGCTGAACTTTCTTGTAGACATCTATATGCATATTTATGCCTCCCTCTAAATCACTGGTGTACCACAGTGTCTGACCTCATAGGTACTCAAAACATAGTCATTGAAAGAGAGAGAAAGAATTGTGTGGGCCAGAAAGCCTGGAGGTTGCTTTTAACTGTCATTGACTTACACTAGACTCTTAAGCTTCAGGGGGCAGGCACCATGTCTTTTCGCTCACTGTTTCTTCCCCAGCATTTTCCAAGAGAGTTTGGCATGTAGTAGATATGCAATAAACAAATGTGTAATAAATTAAGAACCCAATATTATTCTCACCCTCTTGCTTCAGGCTGAAGCCCCGGGAGACCTGGTTAGTGTTGGATTTACCGAGGATGTCAAGAAAGGTGCCATTGGCAGTGGAGGTGGAACTGCAGCCGGACCTGATGACCCACTTCTGGCATCGACAGTATCTACATCAGGGCCCTTACCTGTGCCATCCCCAGGCCCTGGTTTCTCATCCCTTCCCCCTGAAAGACAGGTCAGTATGGATAAGGCAATTGAATCTGAAAGGAGACTGTAAGTACCGCAAGAATATATGTCAAAATGAGCCTTTTGAATGATAAAATAATTTTTGTGAAGTTTTTAAGGCCAGGGAGTATATTTGCAATAATTTAGCTTATATTTGATGTGTTTTTATGCTGAACTCATGAGAAAATATGGCTACATACAGCCTTTCATCGACCTCTTGACAAATACCATCAGATAGACTGCAAAGAACATTTGTATGAGCTGGACAAATTTGAAAGTCTTTAATGTACAGTGATTTAGACTCAAGTTTCATATTAGATATATTCAATTTGTATGTAGTGAAAACAGTTTACTCTGATGCTGAAAACAGGGTAAAAGTCTCATAACTGTGTACATATACAAATCTAGAGAAGTCAAATAAGTAAAAACTAAAGAGCCATGGGCATTAATTTTCTTTACTCTTTGTTCCTTCATTATAAAGTAAAAAGAAATTGTTTTATTCTTTCATTTCTGACCTCATGAAGCTCTTTTTTTGAAATTCTATATTTTAGGCATAAATTAATTCTGATTTTCCATGTTGAAATTATTTGTCTGAATTACACCTTGTTTATTGCTCAGCTTCTACTTTTGGAATGTAAGTCCTCTGGTTTAAAAATTAAACAAAGACTACCTTATGGAAAATGTAAACATATTTAAAATTAGAATAATATGATGACCTTTTGTGTATCCATTCCTCATTTTTGACAGTTATCAACATTATGCTGCTCTTACTTCTTCTATTTATTTCTTCCTAACTTTTTTTTTGAGAGAAGAAATTAAAGCCAATCTCAGACATTACATAACTTCGTCCATGAGTACTTCAATATATATTTCTAACACATACCCTTTGTTTTATAATATAAAACAATGTCATTATAATACTCAACATAATGAAAAACAATTCCTTAATATCATATAATACTCAATTCTCATTAAATTTCTGATTGTCTCAAAAATGCGTTTTTTAGTTATTTCATTGAAATCAGGATCCAAAAAGATCCACTCGTTGTAATGAGTTGATAAGTCTCTTAAATCTTTTAATCTCTGACACTTCTTCCCACCTCTTCTTTTTTCTTGCCACTTATTTTTTGGAGAAAGAGTCCTCTGATTTTATTAAACTGAATCATTTTTCACAAGTAGCATCTCTAGGCTCAGAGATCAAAGATTTCCCGATTCTTGTTTGAGGCCACAGGTGACAGAAGGAGCAAAACCCAGTCATTCCTAAGGCTGACGTCCAGAAGGCATTAAAACACTTCACCTCAGGCAGGAAGGAAGATTGACTGTGATCAAGTTCACTTAAGTTAATTTTAAGAAATATTTATTGAAGGTTTACTATGAACAAAATATGTGTTTGGAACTCAAACCAGTTTCTTCCCAGTGATCTCTTTTTCTTTCAGAATGACTCCTACAAGAATGATTTGCTTCCTGTACTGGTTCCTGGTAAGTACAGAGAATGTTGGTAGTAGTTGGAATTGCTTAATATTCATTGAAGATATTCCAGTTGTTATAAGACTATTCATTCCTCCATTGGTGAGAGAAGTTTATTAGTGATTTCCTGGGAGTACAGTGTGTTCCCTTATAGTAGCTAACAGTTTTCAAAGTGGATATGGATCTCAAACAGATCTTTAACGCAGAACAAGTTTTAAAACCACTACTGTACTAAATCATCCTGTCACATGTTTTGAAAAATTGTCCCTTTTAAAAACAAATCCAGATTGCCCTTGAAGAAGATTGCCAACACAATCTAACCACTATCACCATTTCCATGTTGGGGGAATTGTCCAGTTTTCCAGCCATATCATATACTGTTCTCTCAAGAGCAATAATAGCCTACTGTCTTTGAGGCTGGGATTTCATTCTGGAGGACATATTGTTGTGACTTTTAATTACATTTATTGAAATAAACAGGTTCGGAATTCAACCCCCAAACTTCTCCAAAGCCAGCATCAAGAGCCAAGATTGGTTTTGATAACTTTATGCTGCCTGATTTGCCTGATGTAAAACCTCAAGCAAGCCTTTCCATTGACCCTTATGATTGTGAGGAGGTTGATTTTGAAGACCTTGACCGGAGACTTGAAATGCTGAAGAAAGCCACATAATTCCTTAGTTCTGGATTGAGTATTTGCCTGGGACTTGGAATCCCTGGGCACAAATTTTAATATGGCCACCGATGTGTGGGTGTGAAGTTTTCTCATTTACAATTCCTTCCATCCCTTAAATTCTATGGTTCTCTGTCTGTAATAATGTTTGTGTATGTTTCTGTTTGTGTGCATATACATGTAATCATATAATTATTCCTGTTTCTTAAAATTCTATAATTCTATAGAATTCTAAAATTCTAAACTTGTATAATTCTTTTCCTTAAAATAATGTAATTCTTAGGTGAAGATTCCCGACCTACAGAATTGTATTAATTAGCGTCAATAAACTTTTATTTTCTCCAAGATTCTTATTTCTCTCATAATTATCATTTTTTTCCAGGGAAACAGAATGGTGCGTATTTAAATCTCATCCCTGTACTTACTAGCTATAAATAAGACATTTGGCAAATGGTGCCTCCCATTAGATGTGCATGAGAGAGCTAAGGAACTAGAGGAATGTGTGTCTTTTTAAAAAGAGTATCTTAAGGAATGCGCAAACAAAAGGGTGAACATGAGAAATCAGTGGAATCCTGTATGCCTGGGCTCAAATTTAGACTCTGTCACGAACCAGAAGTAAACTTCCTTTTTCTCACCTGTAAAATGGGGAACATAATGAGGATTAAAAGAAATAATGTATGTAAAGCTTTTTAGCACTTAGTAGGTGCTCAATAAATATTTATTTTCTTTCTGGTTTCTATTACTTGCTAAGTTCTATTGGACTAAATATTAGTGATTCTATGAAACTGGATAAAGGAGAGGCTAAGAAAACAAGATGGCCAAATTAATTATATTTTTGTTTGTGTCTTGTGTAAGTAGCATTTTTTATTTGTTTTTCCTTTTTTCTTTTTTTCTTTCACTTATTGTTGACACTTAGGCTGCCCTCTCTGAGAGTTTCTACCTCTAAGTCTGATTCCAGTAAAAAAATGAGATTTTCTAAGAGGAACAAGTAAATAGGAACAAACATTGAACCTCAAAAAAATTTAAAAAGCCCAGCCGGCGTGGCTTAGCTGTTGAGCATTGACCTAGGATCCAGGAGATCCAGTTTCGATTCCCACATGCCCGGGTTGCGGGCTCGATCCCCAGTCGGGGGTGTGCAGGAGGCAGCCAATCAATGACTCTCATCATTGATGTTTCTGTCTCTCTCTCTCTCCCCCTTCCTCTCTCTGAAGTCAGTAAAGATATATTTTTTAAAAGAAAAGAAAAATGCAAAATTAATTAATTTTTATTTTTTGTTAATCCTCACTTGATATTTTTTTCATTGCTTTTCAGAGAGAATGG